ACGACGCAAAATCCCCCATCCCATCCTCACACCACGACGCCGAAATCCTCATAACATGGACCAACACAGCCGAGAACCTCTCCTCGGCCGCCCAAAACATGAAATCCCTCCGGTGGATCCAATCCCTGGCCGCCGGCCCCAACGACGTGCTGAACGCCAACTTCCCCCCATCCGTCCTCGTCACCACCGGATCCGGTCTCCACGACCGTACCGTCGCCGAGCACGCCCTCGGCCTCCTCTTATTAGCCGCCCGTCGCTTCGACCAGATGCGCGATTACCAGCTCCAGAATAAATGGCCCGCCCATCTAGGCGGTCCGCAACCGGATCGACCTTCGGATAAGTTCACCACGTTGCGGGACGCCAGGGTCACGATCTGGGGTTACGGGAATATTGCCAAGACGCTGGCGCCGCATCTGGTTGCCTGGGGGGCAAAAGTCCGCGGCATAGCGCGGAGTGCCGGTGTTCGCGAGGGTATCGAGGTTTTCGCCGAAGAGGATGTTTCCGAGATTTTGAAAACGACAGATGCGTTGGTCATGATCCTTCCCGGGTCGGAAAGTACGAAGGATGCGTTGAATGCAGAGAGATTGAAGCTCTTGCCGCGTCATGCGTGGGTTGTCAACGTCGGAAGGGGAACGTCTATCGATGAGGACGCTTTGGCGGATGCGTTGAACGAAGAAAGGATCGGGGGCGCGGCGTTGGACGTTTTCGTCAAGGAGCCGTTGCCCGAGGAGTCGAAGCTGTGGAAGGCGAAGAATTGCTTTGTTAGTCCGCACGCGGCTGGAGGGAGACCGCAGGATCCCGAGGAGCTGATTGCGTATAATTTGAGGAAGTTCTTGGCCGGGCAGCAGTTGAAGAATGTTATTTGAGTCTAACTTGGTAGTGCAAGAGAGAGATTGAGATGGTAATAGAAGCGTTTTGTTATATGCATCTGTAAACAAATTGGCATTGCAATGATTAGACAGTTTGCTGCCATTTAACTAGTCTACCAAGTACTGGTACACAAGAGCTCCACTGTAGCAACGTAGAGAAAAGCATGATGACCTTCCTGTTTCCATTCTATCATGTTTCCATTCTATCATGTATCCATTCAAATATGCCCTTTGCTGTGCCGATGCCATCAATGACTGATGCTGAGCCGGTCGAGGGTGGGCTGTCGAATTATGCCGGACTGGCCGTTTTACAGGTGTAGGAAGATATTTTGGTAATCGATAGAATGTTGCTTTGCATCTTAGCTCGGATATAACCGTTAGTTTATTGCCCGGGAATTCTGCCAAGGGCATAGTATAACAGAGACTTACTACTACTTTGTTTGCTCGCGGTGCGGGTACGTTGGAGATGCGGCATAGTCCAGAAGAGCCATCAGTTCGTGAAAAACTTTGTAGAACTCGTCCGTATCATCGTTTCCGGAGGATGTACCCCCATTTGCGGATGTCGAACCCCGAGGAAGTGTGTGGTTGGTCTCGTACACGTCTTGGTAGAACTGCTTGGTGATGTGATTCTCTTCCGGACCAAACCATTCAACACCGTGCATTGCAACGGCCTCTGCCCCGTGGCAAAGGCGTAAATGGTACTTCAAAACTCGATTGCATCGGAAAGTTTCCAGACATTGGTCTCCCTTGTCGTTGAGGATGGCACGGCAATGGATTTCTCCGGCGGCAACGCACGGGTGGCCTTTATTGTCTTTTGCGTAATATGGTAAGTATTCAGGTCGCTTTTGTTTATACCATGCATACTCTAACGAGCGCTTGTAGTGATCCTCATCTACTATCCCCATCTTGGATTGATTGTGGTTTACAGTTGATGAGGAGGTGTTGGTCGCATAGGGATGGAAAACAAATTATTTTCCTGGCTTTATAGCCATGGGTTGTGGTAGAGCGTCACGGGCCACTCTACGAATCATTTACCTTGAGGAAGTGTACGCGTAACAGCAAGTGCTTTTCAATTCCTCTCAATTCTTTGCTAGCTGGATAAGGGGTGAAGAAAAACGTGCAACAAAAGAGCTAACAGAGGTGTATAATACATGTAGTTCGAGACAGCAAGCACTTGCCGTGTAGTCTAAACCAAAGGTACATACCTACCTACCTATGTAGGTTGTAATCACTTGATTATGATATTATGCCTTCTATCTTTGGAACGTTGTTCTGATTTACCACCAAAATATAACATCGTCCCTTCTTGTCCAAGATATGCAGGTGCCGTGTCAAAAGCTCTTGCCCTCTACTACATAATACTACCTACCTTACCTACGATCTGCTATGTTAGTAAACCACTGCGGCAAGTGGCAGTTTCCTAGACTAGCTCAGTTTTATGCAGTATACCTTAGTCACGTTGCAGAAAGTACAGAAGAGTCTAGGTGATAGGCACTGTAGATACATGTAATATACCTCTGATGTTCTTCCAAGCTGCGGCCCTATCTCTTCAGGTACCCGGACACGTGTTCGAATCTGAGATTACTATACCAAACCTCCCTCCACCTTATCAGCCACTTTCCGCATAATGCCATCCGGGGCCATCCCATCAGAAGCCCCCAATATCTCCTATCTCCGTCTTGGGAACGAGATACGGCTGGACCTGATCACGCACTGCCGTCTTCTGCTCAAAGGCATATGCGAGTTGAATGAGTCTAGCTTCCGACCATCTTGGCCCAAGGAAAGCAAGGCCGAATCTGGAGCAATCAGAAAGTGGACTTTCCACCAAAAAGAGCAGGCAAAACTTACGGTATGTTTGGCCCAGACAGAACTTGCCCTCGAGGCGTCTTGCTTACTGGCGTGTCAGTGGGATAAAACCCCAAAGGCACCGTGACTATCGGCGCACCCACGAGCGACGCCCAGCCCGAGGCATACGCAGATGGCATGATGAGTGCATCTACGTCATTTCGCTGCATAGCCCCCAATACACCCGCCTCCCCACCAGCGTACCGGTTTCGCTGTAGCGTGTCCCAGAAAAAGGCGTCCGTGTTGGTGTAGTTCAGCTCGAGAGCGACGTCCCATATGGCCGTGTCGCGGTCCGGATAGGCCTCGGTTGGGAAGTTCCGTGTAAACGAGCGCACGGCGGAGAGAGTGGTAAGGTTGTGCGGGTTATGGGTGAGTTCGGACAAGTACTCGGCTAGGTTGGCGACGAAGTCGGCTTGCATGATGCTGAAATCCTTGGGAGCGGTTGGATCGGATACGTTTGCGGCGATTATCTCGGCGCCCTGCTCGCGCATGATGTCGACGGCGGCGTAGAAGGTGTTCAAGGGGGTGTCGTTTGTTGGTGGCAAGATGTTGTAAGGGATGCCGATACGGGCTCCGCGCAGGGCATCCGCCTGTAGATCTGCGGCGTAATTGGGGATAACACCACAATTCGGGATAGCCGATGTGTAGTTGTCCTGCGTGTCAACGCCGGCTATGGCTGTGAGGATTGTCGCGGCATCTTTAACCGTTCGGGCTAGGGGCCCGACGGTGTCGTGATGCTCACTTATGGGGATGACGAGATGTCTGGAGGTTAGGCCTACCGTAGGCTTGATGCCAACCAGGTTGTTGCTCTCCGCAGGTGAGATGATGGAGCCGATAGTCTAACAGAATCACTTAGTGAACAATTCTAAGAACTAGATAACGATGTCCTGGATTGAGTGGATAGGGGGGTTCTCACCTCGGTACCCAATGCCGCAAGAGCCAGACCTAGGGAAGAAGCGACGCCGCTGCCACTGGAGCTACCACCGGGGTCCTGATGCGGATAATAAGCGCCCAAGGTCTGTCCGCCATGGGCCGACCAGCCGTTACTTGTATTTTCACTCCTATAGTTAGCCCACTGGCTAAGATTGGTCTTGCCTAGGATGATAGCGCCAGCGCAACGAAGCTTCTTTGCTACGAAGCTATCTCTGGGGACTTTTGCGCCAACAAGAGACCACGAGCCGGCAGTGTTTTCCATGCTGTCACCAGTCGCGATGTTGTTCTTTACTAGTATAGGGATGCCATGCAAGGCCCCATAGCTTATGCCGTTGGCGCGTGCGGCGTCCAGTTCGGCGGCAATGGCTAGTGCGTCCGGGTTCAACTCCGTCACGGCGCGCAGCGTGTCGTTGACTTCATGAATGCGGGCGAGATAGGCTTCCACTAGGTCGACGCTCGTGAAGAGACCGTCGGCCAAACCTGATGATAGATCATCGAGGGTGGCGTTGATGAGACTGGGAAAGGCCTGGCCTTTAACTGGATGCTCGTAGCATGGGTGAGTGAGCATGAGCAGATACTCGTATGAGTCTATGAGACGAGTTAATCACCTGTTAGTGAGCTTGCGAGCCCGATGAACCCAAAAAGCGTGAGGCATATCCAAGAGGCCACGACCCTCGTCGTTCGGATGGCTATTATTGATGCCATATCCGCGTTATATCGCTTAACCATTAGCGATACCAATGCTTCGGCGAGAGCTGAACCTCGCTGTTTGTCGTTGAAATAGCTTCAACTATCAAATTGCCTTGTGAGACTCAGGTTGCACATGAATCGAGTTACATTCAAGGTGGCTATCCATGAATCATGAAACGGGCCCCAATCTGATTGTCAAGGACGCGTTCGTGCCAAGTATGCAAGAGTCCGATCTTGGCAGGTACGATCCTCTGATTGACGAACCCCGAAAGCCTGTTTCCCGGTATATTATATACTCAAATGAATTTGTATGTGTATGTAAGTCGTGGGCAACCGAGATATTCTCTTCCTCTTCTTGAAAGCAAAACGACATCGCAAAGGTGAAAGTCATCAATTACGCTTCTACTCGTAGAAGGGCCGGAGGACCTGCAGTCTACCGAGACAATTCGGGTGACAAAACAATGATTTTTCCAACTTCCAACATCCCATGTTTTCCTAGCTTTGCCTGCATAAAGAGCTTGTATATCTTGCTTACATAGACAAACAACCCTGTAATTCATAAAAGTGATTAAAATCAACCAAGAAAGCTGCAAAAGAGAAGAGGCTCCCTAACAGGCGGAAGAAAGGGGGTTTAAATATGACTGCAAAAAAAGCAAAAAGATGGGGCTCAACCGGGATTCGAACCCGGGGCCTCCTGCATTCCCATGTAGAATGGAAGGGTGCTAAGGGTAAACCCGAAGCAGGAATCATACCACTAGACCATTGAGCCGAACATCGGAGACTAATCCGCTGATGGATAAATGTGGTACTACACGCCTATATATATCAACTTTGTCTTGTCTTCCCCAACGCCTCTAAGTTGCCAGCAGTCAGATTTTAATGCCTTGACAAGGTACTTGTAGAAAATTTACCTCTTTTGCATAGAGATTCTATCTGATTACTCTTACTGGCTAAAACCAGCAAAGCTTTATTTATCCTGTTAGCTTTTATCTATTCTTTATTAGATTCAACGCAACAGTGACTTTTAGGCACGTTTGGCTTCTTGAACCTTTACTATCCGACGGTCACTGGACACCGGTCGCTATTGATGGCAGGATACACGCATCTGGGGTCACGAAATGTTACATATATGATATAACCTACGCCTAGATAAGAAACAAAATCGCACTATAGAGAAGTAACTGGCTACATTATAATATCGTTCTTTTACACAGCGCAATAGACGACCCTATACCTCCTTCACTAGCTGGTGTCACGACTTTCAGAGGCTGAGATTTCCCAATCGCAATGTCCCAAAGTTTCTGTCCCGGCCCCTGATGGACAACATTTACCCATGGGAACTCCTGGAGGATCCCAGATACTTCAGGCCAGGATCGCAGTCGAAGCTGGTCTGCAAGCATCCTTATCTTCGGGATCATCCAACTGTCGTCGGCCGTCGTGGCCAATGACATCCGGCCTATGAATAAAGCCCAAAGCAACGTCTTCTGCCCGTTCAGACATGGTGATAATGAATATTGAGCCGCCTGTCGGAACCGCTCCATCATAAGAGGAAACTTGACAATCTGCCAGCCGATACCGAGCCAGAACGTGTTCATGAAGCCGATTAACGCGAGGTGGATGAGTTTATCGAAGCTGTTATCTGCCGTAAAGTCTTGGTGGAATAGGTCGATTTCGATCAGCCGGTAGCCGAAATAGATAATTGTGCTCTGGAAAGCAGCTGGCTCTAGTTTCCGAATCCGGTTCTCTTGCTCCCGCAGGAGGTGCGTGAGATTAAGCGCATCAGTTACGACGCCGCGCAGTCCTGCGCCAGCTGACTGATACAATGCTGATATAGCGATTTCGGGCTCGGGGGGCCCTAAGCAGTTGTTACGGTTTATGACGACAAGATGGTGAGGGACGTCCTCTGCGGAGTACTTGGGGGTTGAGCCGCTGTACAGGGCAAGCTCAAAGTCGGTCCTTTAGACATGTTAGCATCGTGGAGTGGCACAGTCCGTCGTCTGGTGTCACTATGTGTGTATAGGTGGTAAATACCAAACCTACCGGAATGTCTTTTCAGCTACGAGGAAATTCCGCTCAGCAAGCGCCTTGATCCCCCCTCTAAGCTCTACCATTCGGTAGACTCCACCAAGGTGCACCATTGCCTTTCTTGAATTGCCGTAAAGTCTGTCATAGATACTTGTCGACGTAACAACGGCTATGGTGGAATCAGACAATGCCTCATCGCTCGAGAGCTTCTTCGCCAAAAGACGAAAAGTCTGGGACATGTGGTAAAGCGCCACTGGAGAATCGTAAGAATCTTGGGTTAAGAACGCGGCGAAAGCAGAAGTCAGAGCCATCGTGCAGTGGAAATCTGCGCTTAGTTTCAGCGACTACAAAATAAAGCCAGGCATCACAACTCCCTTACATGCTTCATCACGGAAGACTAGGTCGAACCACATCCATCCTAAGACATTGGTGGGTCGACAGAACTCTTTAGGCTGTGCGATGTCGAGGAGGAACAGGAAGACTTGGACAGGAAATTAGTTAGGTGAGAGAGCAAAGAAGAAGCAGCAGAGTCGACAAGCCCTACGTTGCTGCACCTGAGCGAGGGACTGCGGGTTCGGCCTGACGGGACAGGATAGGAGAGTCGGGTCGTTCCCTATCTGCCGCGTCAACTTGACCAAAATGCTGTCGTGCTGGATGTCTGCAGTATGCGTCTTGGTATAGCTGTAAGGTGGATTGGTCGTTCGATCGATCCTCACTAAATCTTTCCTTCTCGGCTCCCTGACTTTGCCGACATTCTTTCCTTTCATGACATGACTCCGGATGAGCTTCCTGGCTCTCTTGTCGATGACGGTGTTATCTACAAATTGAAACGACATGACCTATTTGTAAATGTAGATATGTGATAGGGCACATGTAATTTTTCACTTTGATGACATTCATGTCTCTTAAACAGGCCATTCGACGTTACGTGAAGGATCCGGCAGTCCGCTTGTTACCTCCGGGCTTTTGCTCTTAACTCCGATGTCTACTTCCAAGCGGCTCATGTTGCAATTATGTCTACAAGTAAACACACGTTGGGCTGAGTTTTGTTACGCCAAAGAATTCATGATAAAACAGGATTACACAAATACATATCATATACAGCTGGCCAGATGCTCGATCTTAGCTGCCTCGACAACTGTTGCGCTCACCTTGGTATACTGGTTGAACCCCTAAATCCAAAGCACTTGTGTCATCTTGCTTAGAACGAAAGGTGGCGTCTTTTCCTAAGGCAGCCCTATCTATCCACAGTTTAAGACATTCAACGTTGGAATTTGAGAAAAGAGATGATTAGCAAAAGATGAAGCAAATTGAGCTAACGTCTGCTGGTCATTGTGGCAAGTTGTGGTTGGGGAAAGCTGGCAAACTTCCAGCTCTTTGGGTGGGTTAGGGAGGTTCTCACTTGATCCGTACTGGTCGGTCAGGCCGGTCAGCCGGTGTACGAGTTGAGCTCCCCTGCACTGTGGCCCACCGGGAGCTTTGCCAACAGGTTGGTCATCTGCAGGAAATCTCCAAATCTTCAATGTCATTTGGTAACGCTGCACCACAGACACCACATACGTAGTTGGCAATACCAAATGCAGAATTCAGGTTGCATTGGTGTTGTCATTTCCATCTATGTAGGAACTCATGCCCCAGGTACCACATTACCCAAATGCTCTGAAACCTCACAAAGGGTCAGCGTGAGATGATTCTGCTTCAAAGCCCAGGCTTCTCCTGACTTTGAACTAGCGACACCCATTTTGATGCTATTTTAGGTAGTGGACAATACTCGTAGGTAGAGGGGCAATGAGGGGCATCTAGATTGCATCTATTTGAGGACAACATCATCCAGAAGCTAGGCACAAAGGTACCTAGGGCACTACGTGTACATCCAGCCTAGGTACTAAACTTCAGCCATCAAATGGTATCCCCGTTAATCTAGATCTCGGGCAGCAGGCTTACCTCCCGGCTACGATAAGATCTGAGTGGTAAAGGTAACACGGGATAGAATACAATACTGATGACAATTCTCGGCTGGCACATAACGGCCACTATCCCTTGTGCGATTGTGCCTCTGGTAAAATGTACTGGTAATGGTGGGTTGGTCTTGTAGTGTGGCTGAAGAGATGATGCAAGATTCTGTGTGATGCACGCGCGAAACACCATTGATAAGGCCAGGCTGTTTTGCGTCTAGTGAGATCAGGCCCACTTGTACCCTGGCGATGGTCTCCTGCCTACTATGTACAGCATATAGGTGCCCTAGTCCCAAAATATTTCTATTATCACAAGATAATTTGTTTTTGTTTAGCATATGCAAGTCGGAATCTTGTTAGGGGTTGTCCTTTTCCAACTTGGAAGTATTCATCGTCGTTTCTTTTTATTATTTCTTTACTGGAATTATCACCAGTAAATCTTTGTTGATAGTGACATTCATTTGTCCCTGTGTGGTTTGACTGTACCTATAGTACATGTTGGTTATTGGTTGATTAGCCACCTGGCAATTTCGTCCATGCCCCCATCCATGTTACGTTAACCTCATCTCATAAATTTCACCAGTCCGTGTACACAATTCATTTGTCTGCGGTCCAGACTGTCCTAAGGGTATCGAACTCAAACCATTAGAGAGGTCATCTGATCACTTAGTCTCTGCAAAACCACAAGGGCCTGTCTCGGGACAATTTGTGCATTTCCTCAAGTTCAAACTTCTTGTTGTATTTTACCCCTGGCCTCGAAACCATACCTCCCCTGCTACGAGTGCGAGTCCCCGCCTGAGAATAGCTCATTTGTTGCCGACCTACGAGACCACCTCATCGTCGCTGCCAATACCATCAGATCCATCAAATTATCCCGAACGATATCTAGTTCTTGACGCGAATACCCCGCGCCTGCCTACCAGCCGCAATCTCACGCCCCGCCGGTCCTACCGCCTTCCCAACCAACAGAAGCTCAAGGCATCGGAGCTTTGAGCTTTGAGCTACGTAGCTCTCACACAACCAGGCCCCATACTACCAAACAAATACCACCCTGGCCAGCTGTGTCGCTAGCTCAGCGCGGCGACAGCCATCACCACCGCCCTCATGTGGTGGTTTTTTCGCGTCATTTCTAGTTCCGTCTTCCTCCTGACCATCGTCCTCTCGATTCCCATCTCCTTCGATGTAGGCGGGCGTGATGCGGGCTTGGCGTACAGCCTGGCCTTGTTCGGCTTCTACTTCGTCTATAGCACGGCCAAGCTTGCGACGCCAGACCACTCCCGTGTGCGATGGTTCCTGACTCACACGATACAGACTTCACAGTGGATTGTTATACCTGGTCTGCTGATATGGTCTTTGCACAATTTTGCCGTCGATGCAAACAGTACCGACTGGGTTTCACGAACCATCGGAGGACTACGGACCCAAAAACATACGACCTGGACTGATTGGATCTTTGGGAACGGAGGCCTTATTGAAAACGTCACTATTGGCACCTGGGATAATGTTTTGTGTTACTCTAGCCCCCTCTTCCAACTAGCCGAGGGCTTCTGTACTCTTCTCGTCATCCAGGCTGCCGGTCAAATTTCCAGATGGCTCGTAAACAGGGGAAGAAGCGATACCTGGGTCGTAAGCTGCAACCCTCGACCCTCCATCCTTGGTAGAAACTCTGGCTAACGAATCCCTAGCTCACACTTGTCATGATCTCGGCCTCCATCATTGCTAGCGCTTTATACTTCCTCTGGCGCGTGGCCCTATTCCCTTCCATCAGCAACATCGACGCGACTCTGAT